TAATAATTTTGACTCTTAACTCCCCAGGGCCTCTATTGAGGCAGTGACAATGGGTAGCGGAGAGGGGACAGATCTGGGAGCTACTTAGGAGACAGAATCGATAAAACTTAGTGACCGGTTTGACATGAGGAGTGAAGAGTCCAGGCAGGCCCTGGGGTTTTCTGCTGGAGTGAGGGGGTGTCCGGTGGTGCCACTCAGCAAGGTGGCATATGGGAGCAAGTTTGGGAGATGAAGATAGTGAGCTCAGCCCTGGATTACTGCGTCACGGTGCCAGGTGGAGGTGCCCAGGAGGGGTTCAGGTAAAGGTGTGGACGCTGCGGGAAGTCTGAGCTGGGAATCCGGATTTGGGAGTCGTTAGCTTTCAGGCATTGGTTGAGGCACAGGGACTGTATGAGACTTCCCAGAGGGCTTGCGAGGGCTAGAAGGGAGTGTGGACTGGGGAGGGGGCTCTGGGCACCTCCAATATCTTAGAGGTGGACGAAGGAGATGAGCCCACAATGGAGGTAGAAGAGGAGCCGTCAGGAGGCAGAAGGATGAAGACAGGACTCTTGGAGGGCAAAGGAGCAAGGTTTCTGGAGGAAGAGAGCTCTCTGAATGGGCAGATTCTGTGGAGTGGACCCCGGGAACCAGCGGACGTGGGCTGAGGATACGGGAGATGAGGAAGCTCGGTGGAGACTCTTTTTCCGGAAGTGTGAATTCTGGAAGCATGGCAATGCTTGCTCAAGAGACCTCAAGGCTCCTGTCTTCAGGCAGACCCCCATGAGATCAAGCATTCTGGAGTGGCTGGGTCATATGGTAATTAGTCTGTAAGGTTTTAAAATATTTTTTCCTGATGATCTCTAGGATTGAGAGAAATCTTAAAAAAAAAAAAAGAAAAAGAAAGAAAAAGAAAAAAGAGGAAAGAAGCAAGAAAAGAAAGGAATCCTCTGTGTCACTTTGCAGACCTCATTGTCCTCCAGGGCCACCCCCAAAGTCATAGTGAAGGGCAGAGGCTCTGGGCCCTGCTCGCTGTCTCCGAGGGTCTGAGAGCATTAGAAACTCCTGGGACCTTAGTTTGCAGGCAGTCCTGGTGGCCAGAGAGAGGCTGTGTAAGTGACTTGCCGCTAGAGGCCCTTTCGAATAGCGTTCCGTGCCCTCGGCCCTGCGCTTTGGCCAGAGTTGCTTGCACAGAGAAACAGGGATCTGCGTATGTTTCCCCATTTTCCTCTTCTGGGCTGGCCTCTGTGAGGGCACAGACAACAAGGACATGTCCCTCGACTGGTCTTAGCCCTTGAGCCAGCACTGCCATGGCCAGGCTGTCTGGGGACATTGCTGGGCCCAGTTCAGAGGTGCTGTCAGTGGGCTCTGGGAGCCGCCACCGTCCGCATCTGGGGTTATGGCTGAGGCCTGAGGCTGTACGGCAGGTGGTGACCAGCGTGAGATGTGGTGGTGGCAGGCTCTGCAGAGGGTGGGAAGGGAGTGTTCAAACACAACCTGCCCTCCGCGACCTTCTCCCCTTGCTTTCACACTGGACCCCTGATGTCACATCTCTTCGTGACACTCCACATCATGACACTTATGCATGCAACTTCCACATTAGCATGTTATCTTTAAAACCATTGAAAAGATGCTGCTCTTGGTGAATGAGCTCAAGGAAACCGCTGCTGCCGTCCCTGCTTCGTCACACTGCCCCAGTGACGGTTATTTTGGGGTTTGGTTACGTTTTCAGATGAAGTGGCTGGGAGGAAGACTCCTCTCCCCACCCCCTGCCACTTCCCTCCCCTCTGCTCCCGACTCTATTTATAGAGCCCTGGTGTGGGAGCCCGAGGTCAGCCGTGGACAGCACAGGCGAGCCCTCCTTGTGTTCTGGTGGAGGGAGGAAGACCCGGAATGGATGAACTCAAAAATAAAGAAGGTAATTCAGGCTGGCATCCGTGCTACCAAATACGTACCCTGATTAGAGGAGGACAGAGGGGGCCTCCATGCGGGGAGACCTGAGGGGTGAGGAAAGCCCATGTAAAGATGATGGCGGGCGTGCCCGGCAGAGGCCTGGCCGGTGCAGAGGCCTGGCTGGGAAGGAACTTGGCATGGGTGTGGAACTGAAAGAGGAACCCAGTGCCGGCCGCATGAGCTGGGGAGGGCGCGAGGGGCCCAAAAGGTGGGCCGTGGGGGAGCAGGGTTTCAGAGTACTCAGGGCAGTCATTTTAGGGTGATAAGAGTGGTCAGAGGAACACTTGAGAGCCCCCCTGGCTGTGTGGGAGGACAGATTATACAGGGAAGAGAGAGGCATGGCGACTGTTCTCCCCGGCTGACCCTGTGGCTGTGGGCCAGTCCCTTATCCTCCTGGACATCAGGTTTCCCTCTGCCCGGGGTGGTGGCTGAGCTTGCCTGCTGGACTCCTGGGCAGCCTGGACACATACGGTTTCGAGATGCCTTTCTCTATCTTAAGCCACCCCTGCCTCTCCTCCAGCACGGCCCCTGGCCACTGCCCTGCTCATTCCAAACTCCAGACTACCATCCTTCTTAACCTTTTCAATATTAAAAATCTCAAACATAAGGGCCGGCTCGATGGCATAGCAGTTTAAGTTCGCTCACTCTGCTTTGGTGGCCTGGGTTTACCGGTTTGGATCCCGGGAGCAGACCTACGCACTGCTTATCAAGCCACGCTATGGCAGGCATCCCACCTATAAAGTAGAGGAAAATGGGCACAGATGTTAGCTGAGGGCCAGTCTTCCTCAGAAAAAAGAGGAGGATTGGCGGCGGATGTTAGCTCAGGGCTAATCTTCCTCAAAAAAAAAAACAAAAAACCTCAAACATAAAGGAAAATTAAAAGTCTAGTCAAATAAACATGCATATACTCAACCATTAACATTTTGACATTTTTGCTTATATTTTCTCTATCTATAATCTTTCTTCCTGAATCATTTGAAGGGTGCAGACATCATGACCTTTTATTATAAATACTATAGCATGCATCTCTTAAGAATAAAAATATTCTTAATGTAGTAAAATACATTTTTAATATAATAAAATATATTATTAATGTAATAAAAATGTAATATACACTATATATCATGGAACATTATTCAGCCATAAAAAAAGAATTAAATCTTCCCATTGGTGACACCATGGTTGGACCTTGAGCACACTGCACTTGGTGAAATAAATCAGACAGAGAAAGACTAACACCGTATGATCTCACTTATATGTGGAATCTAAAAAAAAAAAAAAAACAGAAACAGAGAATAGATTTGTGGTTGCCAAAGATGGTGGGTGGGTGGGAGAGTGGGCAAAATGGGTAAAGATGGTCAAAAGGCACAAACTTCCAGTTATAAGATGACTAAGTCTGGGGCTGTAATGTACAGCTTGGTGACTGTAGTTAAGAACATTGTACTGCATCTGTGAAAGTTGCTAAGAGAGTAGATCTGAAAAGTTCTCCTTATAAGAAAAAATTTTGTAACTATGTGAGGTGATGGATGTTAACTAAACTTATTGTGGTGATCATTTCCCAACATACACATATAGCAAATCACTATGTTATACACCTTATATACAATGTTAGATGTCAATTATATCTAAATAAAACTGGAAGAAAAAAAGGATAAAAATATTCTTTCATGTGGCCATAATCAAAAAAATGAAAAATAACCCCTTACTATCATCTTATATATCTAGTCTGTATTAAATTTCCTTAATTAACCCCCCAAATGTGGTGTTAGTGTGTTTGAACTGGGATCCAATCAAGGATCATGCATTATATTGGGTTGTTTCTTTAGTTTCCTTCAATGTAGGATATCCCCCTCCACCCCATTTTTCCCTCAGATATTGACTTTTTGAAGAGCCAGAGCAGTTGTCTTGTAGAATGTCTGGATCCTGGTTTGTTAAATTATTTCCGCATGGTGTCATTTAATTTGTTCTTCTATTAGCTATATTTCCTGTAACCTGGAAATTAGGTCCAGAGGTCTGATTAGATTCAGGTTAAATGTTTTTCGCAAGAGTCCTTGATGTTACGAACTTCATATTGCATCCCACCAGGAGACACACTAGATAAGATTGTCCCATTATTAGTGACATTAGGTTTAATAATGTTCCTTGAGGGTAGGAAAATTACTAGACTCCATTTCTATTTCCCCATAGTGTGCGAAAAAAGGCTGAACGTACGGTAATGCGTGATAGGTACAGTCAGTTCTTGTTATTGGCGGTCATCATGTTCTACAAAGTCACGATAACACTGAATTAGGGAACATGGAGCCACTGCTTCTAGGGGAAATACAGGGTTAGGCTCCTGAGAGCCTCTGGTCGCATCATTTTCCTCAATGGATCAGTCCAGAACCTTGTTTCATGTGTGTGTCTGTTTAAAGACATGCTCTTTAAAATATACTTCTGATTCATTAACATTGAACTCACGGCCAACAGCACTGGGACTCATTCCCGAGCGAAGCTTCTCTAACGCGTGTATTTTCTCTGTAAGGCACCTCACAGCCTTCTTGAACTTGGGAACACTAGCCAGCCCTTCAGCACTATGCTTGGCGGGCATTTTAAACAGCGAAATCCCCAACAGAAAGAGCAAAAAATGCAAAAACTATGGCACTAAATAGACTGAAAAGGAAGACACTTGCTTACAGTGTGAGAGCTGAAACAGAGGTCGCCTTGTTCGACTTCAGCTGGGATCGTGCACGGAGGGCAACTCCTTGGAGGGTCTGCCTGAGTCCCTGAACGACCACTTAAGAGCTACGAGTATTGATTTGGGGACTACAAATAAATTATAGTGAGTAAGTGAATTCAAAACATGAAATCTTCAGATAAAGAGGATCAACTAAATGTGTTGGATTAAATCAGTTTGAATTAGCAGTGTGCCCATGGATTAGTGGCATTTCCTCTTACCTTACCTGTCCTGTGACTGGGTGAACTTTGAGGTTTTTTTCCAGCGCTGGAATCCCAGGGACTGGGTGGGAATTGAATTTTCTTTCCGTTTGGCTTCCCGTGGTTGGAGGGACCCTGATCACTTTCCTTTGCCGCAGGTTTGTGGATTTCCACGCCGCTGCCTCCACCTGCTCACCATCCCGGGCCTCCCTGCTCACCGGCCGGCTGGGCCTTCGCCATGGAGTCACGCACAACTTCGCAGTCACCTCTGTGGGGGGCCTTCCACTCAATGAGACCACCTTGGCGGAGGTGCTGAAGCAGGCTGGCTATGTCACTGCGATGATAGGTAACACTGGAGCCCCACAGCCCAGAGCTCCATCTCCCCCGCTGCATTTACTGTGATGGCTGCTTCATGTTTGTGTAGCCTCAACGAGCTGCCCCCTCTTCTGCTATGTCTGCTTTCTCATTTACTTCTTGCTGTATACGTTAGGAATGCTTTCAGTGATAAGCAATTGAAAAGACCTAACAGTGGACTAAATCGTACGTGGAGATATTTTCCTCCCATCATAACAAGCTTAGAGGTAAGTGACTGCTGTCATTGGCTTGTTCTCTCTTTCTGCTCTGCTGATCTTACTATGCTGGCTTCTGTCCTCGTGCTTATTACCTGTAGATTGCAGTGTAGCAGTTTCAGTACCATTCACTATAAATTGGCTCAAGGAAGGAAAAAGAGAGGAGAGGCAGTGCCAACCTTATCTGTTCACTTTTACCAGGAAAGAAATCTTTTCTCAGACACTTCCCCTCCCCCCAGCAGAAATGCACTTAAATCTTATTGGTGGAGCTGGGTCACATGGCCACCCCTCACTGCAAGGAAGGCTGGGAAACTGGGGTCCGTATTATGGTTGACTTGGACTTGGGCACGGGTCCTTGACTCCCTGAACAAAACCAAGGTTCTATTAGCCAGATAAGTGGGGACATGGGTGTAGGGTAGGCAAACAGCAGTGTCTGCCACACTGTCCAACAGCTTCCTTTCCTTTTAAATTTTTGTAGGGACCTCTTGCTCTGCATTTATTTGGTGCCAGACACTGGGCTGAGTTTATTTGCATCAGGGTCTGGTGATGCCTTCTGAGATTACGATTTCCCCCATTGTCTAGGTGAGAAAACAATTTCAGACGGCGAAGAGACTCATTCACTGTTGCCTAGCCTGGAGCGGGTGGAGGCCAGACCTGGACGGGCTTTTATGCTTTGCTGCACCACCTGTCGCCCCTCCAGAGGCCGAGACAACCCAGCAGTCCCCGCAGCATCCTTAGGCTGCCTGTGCTTGTTATTCTGACTCTCCAAGAGCTGAGTCCAGTGGGATTCCTGTCTCCCTCCACCATTCATGAAGTGGCAAGGGAGGGTGTGCTGACAAATTGGATGGCGCCTGGAGAGCCCGTCTTAGCCTCTAGGAGGCTGGCATTTGTGATGTTGGCCCTGCCTCCTCCTCTGGATCAAGGATCCTGACATACTTCTTTTTTTTTTTTTTTTTTTTTATTAATGTTATGATAGATTACAACCTTGTGAGATTTCAGTTGTACATTTTTGTTAGTCATGTTGTGGGTACACCACTTCCCCCTCCGTACCCTCCCCCCACCCCCCCTTTTCCCTGGTAACCACCGATCAGATCTCCTTCTCAATATACTAATTTCCACCTATGAGTGGAGTCATATAGAGTTCGTCTTTCTCTGACTGACTTATTTCGCTTAACATAATGCCCTCGAGGTCCATCCACATTGTTGTGAATGGGCCAATTTCATCTTTTTTTATGGCTGAGTAGTATTCCATTGTGTATATATACCACATCTTCTTTATCCAATCATCAGTTTCTGGGCATGTAGGCTGGTTCCACGTCTTGGCTATTGTAAATAATGCTGCGATGAACATAGGGGTGCAACGGACTCTTGAGATATCTGATATCAGGTTCTTAGGATAGATACCCAGTAATGGGATGGCTGGGTCATAGGGTATTTCTATTTTTAACTTTTTGAGAAATCTCCATACTGTTTTCCATAGTGGCTGTACCAGTTTGCATTCCCACCAACAGTGTATGAGGGTTCCTCTTTCTCCACAACCTCTCCAACATTTGTCGTTCTTGGTTTTGGATGTTTTTGCCAATCTAACGGGGGTAAGGTGATATCTTAGTGTAGTTTTGATTTGCATTTCCCTGATGATTAGCGATGATGAACATCTTTTCATGTGTCTATTGGCCATATTCATATCTTCTTTTGAGAAATGTCTGTTCATGTCCTCTGCCCATTTTTTGATCGGGTTGTTTGTTTTTTTGTTGTTAAGCAGTGTGAGTTCTTTGTATATTATGGAGATTAACCCTTTGTCAGATAAGTGGCTTGTAAATATTTTTTCCCAATTAGTGAGCTGTTTTTTTGTTTCAATCCTGTTTTCCCTTGCCTTGAAGAAGCTCTTTAGTCTGATGAAGTCCCATTTGTTTATTCTTTCTATTGTTTCCCTCAACTGAGGAGTTACAGTGTCCGAAAAAATTCTTTTGAAACTAATGTCAAAGAGTGTACTGCCTATATTCTCTTCCAAAAGACTTATTGTCTCAGGCCTAATCTTTAGGTCTTTGATCCATTTTGAGTTTATTTTGGTGTGTGGTGAAAAAGAATGGTCAATTTTCAATCTTTTGCATGTGGCTGTCCAGTTTTCCCAGCACCATTTGTTGAAGAGACTTTCTTTTCTCCATTGTAGGCCCTCTGCTCCTTTGTCGAAGATTAGCTGTCCATAGATGTGTGGTTTTATCTCTGGGCTTTCAATTCTGTTCCATTGATCTGTGGACCTGTTTTTGTACCAGTACCATGCTGTTTTGATCACTGTAGCTTTGTAGTATGTTTTGAAATCGGGGATTGTGATTCCGCCGGCTTTGTTTTTCTTGCTCAGGATTGCTTTAGCAATTCGCGGTCTTTTGTTGCCCCATATGAATTTTAGGATTGTTTGTTCAATTTCTGTGAAGAATGTTCTTGGGATTCTGATTGGGATAGCATTGAATCTGTATATTGCTTTAGGTAGTATGGACATTTTAACTATGTTTATTCTTCCAATCCATGTGCAAGGAATGTTTTTCCATCTCTTTATGTCATCGCCTATTTCTTTCAAGAAAGTCTTGTAGTTTTCATTGTATAGATCCTTCACTTCCTTGGTTAAGTTTATCCCAAGGTATTTTATTCTTTTCGTTGCGATTGTGAATGGGATAGAGTTCTTGAGTTCTTTTTCTGTTAGTTTATTGTTAGTGTATAGAAATGCTACTGATTTATGCACGTTAATTTTATACCCTGCTACTTTGCTGTAGTTGTTGATTATTTCTAATAGTTTTTCTGTGGATTCTTTGGGGTTTTCTATGTATAAGATCATGTCGTCTGCAAACAACGAGAGTTTTACTTCTTCGTTACCTATTTGGATTCCTTTTATTTCTTTTTCCTGCCGAATTGCTCTGGCCAGCACTTCCAGAACTATGTTGAATAGGAGTGGTGACAGTGGGCACCCTTGTCTTGTTCTGTCCTCAGAGGGATGGCTTTCAGCTTTTGTCCATTGAGTATGATGTTGGCTGTGGGTCTATCATATATGGCCTTTATTATGTTGAGGTACTTTCCTTCTATACCCATTTTACTGAGGGTTTTTATCATAAATGGGTGTTGGATCTTGTCGAATGCTTTCTCTGCATCTATTGAGATGATCATGTGGTTTTTGTTTTTCATTTTGTTGATGTAGTGTATCACGTTGATTGACTTGCGGATGTTGAACCATCCCTGTGTCCCTGGTATAAATCCCACTTGATCATGGTGTATAATCTTTTTGATGTATTGCTGTAATCGGTTTGCCAAAATTTTGTTGAGGATTTTTGCATCTATGTTCATCAGTGATATCGGCCTGTAGTTCTCCTTCTTTGTGTTGTCCTTGTCAGGTTTGGGGATCAGAGTGATGTTGGCTTCATAGAATGTGTTAGGGAGTTCTCCATCTTTCTCAATTTTCTGGAACAGTTTGAGGAGAATAGGTATTAAGTCTTCTTTGAATGTTTGGTAGAATTCTCCAGAGAAGCCGTCTGGTCCTGGACTCTTGTTTTTGGGGAGGATTTTGATTACCGTTTCTATTTCCTTACTTGTGATTGGTCTATTCAGATTCTCCATTTCTTCCTGATTCAGTTTGGGGAGATTGTAGGAGTCTAGGAATTTGTCCATTTCTTCCAGGTTGTTCAATTTGTTGGCATATAGTTTTTCATAGTATTCTCTTATGATCTCTTGTATTTCATTGGTATCTGTTGTGATTTCTCCTCTGTCATTCCTGATTTTATTAATTTGCGATTTCTCTCTTCTTTTCTTGGTGAGTCTGGCTAGGGGTTTGTCAATTTTGTTAATTCTTTTGAAGAACCAACTCTTTGTTTCATTGATCCTTTCTATTGTCTTTTTTTGTTTCAATATCGTTTATTTCTGCTCTTATTTTTATTATTTCCCTCCTTCTACTGACTCTGGGCCTTGTTTGTTCTTCTTTTTCTAGTTCTGTTAGGTGTCGTTTGAGGTTGCTTACGTGAGCTTTTTCTTGTTTAGTGAGGTGAGCCTGTATTGCGATGAATTTCCCTCTTAGGACTGCTTTTGCTGCATCCCAAATGATTTGGTATGTCGTGTTCTCATTTTCATTTGTCTCCAGATAATATTTGATTTCTTCTTTAATTTCTTCAATGATCCATTGTTTGTTGAGAAGCGTGTTGTTTAGTCTCCACATTTTTGCACCTTTCTCTGCTTTTTTCTTGTAGTTGATTTCTAGTTTAATAGCGTTATGATCAGAAAAGATGCTTGATATTATTTCAACTCTCTTGTATTTATTGATGTTTCCTTTGGTTCCCAAAATATGGTCAATCCTTGAGAATGTTCCATGTGCACTTGAGAAGAATGTGTAACCTGCTGTTTTTGGATGAAGTGTTCTATATATATCTATTAAGTCCATCTGGTCTAATTTTTCATTTAATTCTGTTATTTCCTTGTTGATTTTCTGTCTGGATGTTCTGTCCATTGGTGTTAATGGTGTGTTGAGGTCCCCTACTATTATTGTATTGTTGTTGATGTCTTCTTTTAGTTCTATTAAGAGTTGCTTTACAAATTTTGGTGCTCCTGTGTTGGGTGCGTATATATTTATAAGTGTTATGTCTTCTTGGTGGAGAGTCCCTTTTATCATTATATACTGTCCCTCTTTGTCTTTCTTTATCTGTTTTGCTTTGAAATCTACCTTGTCTGATATTAGTATAGCGACACCTGCTTTCTTTTGTTCATTATTAGCTTGGAGTATTGTTCTCCATCCCTTCACTCTGAGTCTGTGTTTGTCTTTGGGGCTGAGGTGTGTTTCCTGGAGGCAGCATATTGTTGGATCTTGTTCTTTGATCCATCCTGCCACTCTGTGTCTTTTGATTGGGGAGTTCAATCCATTTACATTTAGAGTGATTATTGAGACGTGGGGGCCTACCACTACCATTTTGTGTCTTGTTTTCCGGTTTTCTTCAGTTTCCTTTGTTTCTCGTCCCATGGTTTAATCTGTTCTGATGTAGAGCTGCTACTCTCTGTTGTTGTCCTTCTACTTATCTCCTCTGCTCTTGGTTTTGTAGCCCCTTTCCTTTTTTGGATTTTTCAGGAATGAGGGTTTTCCTGAGGATTTCCTGAAGAGGAGGTTTTGTGACAATGAACTCCCTTAATTTTTGTTTATCTGGGAAAGTTTTTATTTCTCCATCGTATTTGAAGGATATTTTCGCTGGGTAGAGAATTCTCGGCTGTAGGTTTTTGTCCTTCAGATTTTTGAATATATCATTCCACTCTCTTCTAGCCTGTAAAGTTTCTGCTGAGAAATCTGCTGATAGCCTGATGGGGGTTCCTTTGTAGGTTAGTTTCTTTTGCCTGGCTGTCCTTAATATTTTCTCCTTGTCGTTGACTTTTGCTAGCTTCACTACTATATGCCGTGGAGTTGGTCTTCTTGCATTGATAAAGTTTGGAGATCTATTGGCTTCTGTCACCTGAAGATCCATCTCCCTCACCAGATTTGGGAAGTTCTCAGCCATTACTTCTTTGAATAGGTTTTCTGCCCCTTTCTCCTTCTCTTCTCCCTCTGGTATACCTATAATCCTTACGTTGCATCTCCTAATTGTGTCTGATAATTCTCGGAGAGTTTCTTCATTTCTTTTAAGTCTTGCTTCTCTCTCCTCCTCTGCCTGCAACAATTCTATATTGCCATCTTCCAAATTGCTAATTCTTTCCTCCATATTATCGGCCCTACTGTTCAGAGCATCTAGATTTTTCTTAATCTCCTCTATTGTGTTCTTCATTTCCAATATTTCTGTTTGGTTCTTCTTTATCGTATCAAACTCTTTTGTGACATAGCTCCTGAACTCGTTGAGTTGTCGGTCAGAATTCTCTCTTAACTCAGTGAGTATTTTAATGATGGCTGTTTTGAAGTCATCATCATTTAGGTTATATATCTCATTTTCTTTGGGATTGTTTTCTGTGTATTTGTTACTTTCTTTCTGTTCTGGAGATTTAATGTATTTTTTCATATTGCTTGATGATGTTGATTTGTGCCTCCGCATGGAGATAGAGTTTAGTTGCTCCTTTCACTTGTTTCAGCTGCTGCGGTGGGGGGAGCAGCTGTTTATACTTCACCAACCAGGAACCCTGTCCGTAGTTGCTAACTGGGCCTGGGCCCCTCTTCGTAGCCACAGTGGCCCTTTGGATTCCCTCTTCTGCCGTGGGGGCCGTCACGGGGGGCTTCAGGCTGCAGGTGCCTACTGTTGTTGCCCACCTAGATGCGCTCTCTCCTTGGGGTCTGCAACGGTGTTATGGGCTTTTCCAGCGGCCAGGGGTGGGATCACTTATATTTGTCGCTCCGTTGCTGTCGGCACCCACCAAATCTCACTTGTCCTCTATGGGTCGCAGGAGAGCTATTGGCATCTTCTACAGTCTGTGGTTAGTACACCTAGCTATGCTGCTTTTGCCCTGGGGTCTTCCAGCCTTGTGGCTGGCGGCTGGGTGCCTTCTACTGGTGCTGTGCAGAGGCTTTCCCTAAGGCTTCTGTGAGCCTGTAGGGTTTCCCCCTAGGCTACTAAGCTGGGTCTCTGGAACTCTCTCCAGCCCCAGTCCTCTCCGAGATCTCCGGCAATCCCTAGCCTCACCGGGCGGGCAACGGCAGCTGGGGGTCGCCCCGCTTCTGGGCTTCTCTCCGGGCCTCTGCCGGGAGCCCTGAAGGCTGGGCGTGGCCCCTCTGCTAATGGCAGACAGAGAGTTTTGTCTGCTGCCTGGCGGAGCTCCGGCGCTTCCCCACCGGGTCGCCGGACCGGCCTTTGAAAGTTCCCCCGCCCCGGTCCTCTCCGAGATCTCCGGCAATCCCTAGTCCCACAGGGCGGGCAACGGCAGCTGGGGGTCGCCCCGCCCTCTGGGCTTCTCTCCGGGCCTCTCCCGGGAGCCCTGAGTGCTCAGCGTGGCCCCTCTGCTACCGGCAGACAGAGAGTTTTGTCTGCTGCCTGGCGGAGCTCCGGCGCTTCCCCACCGGGTCGCCGGACCGGCCTTTGAAAGTTCCCCCGCCCCGGTCCTCTCCGAGATCTCCGGCAATCCCTAGTCCCACGGGGCGGGCAACGGCAGCTGGGAGACCTCCGTGCCCTCCGTGTCTCTCTCTGGGACCCTCCGGGAGCCCCGAGCACCAGGCTGGGTCTCCCCGCCAATGGCGGGGAGAGACTCTCCCCGCGGGCTCAGGTGTGCAACTCCAAAGTTTCCCTCTGCGTTTAGGAGTAATTGCGGGGGGTTTAAGTAGGGTTCTGGTCACCTGTTTCCACCGTCGCTCCTCTGTTGTGTTCTCGCTCCTGCCCTAGATGTGTGTGGATCCTCTGGGGGCGTCCGTTGGAAGAAAGCCGCTTGCGGGTACTAGGCTGCCCGTCGGGGTCGGAGAGTTTTCACCTATTTCCACATCCTCCCGGAGGAAAGTCCGTCCGCCTTCCGATGTATAGTCGCGTGGGTGTCTCAGACGTCCTGAGATGCTGTCTGGATATCCTTTGTCAAGCGATAAGTGTCCAAATAATTGTAGACTCGAAGGGCGAGAGACAAAGAGGACTACTCACGGCGCCATCTTGGATCTTCCCTCTGCCTCCTGACATACTTCTACACTAGGTCAAACTGAAGTGTGGCATTCATTGTCCCAGGAGGGCAAGCCCTAGTTGGTAGGGGGAAGTACCAATTAAGGCCCAAGCTTTCTCTCCTTTTCAATCCCTTTGTCTCCATACCCTGAGGTATTAATTATTGCGACACTCCCACTATGGGCTGAGTGGCATTACTAGCCCCATTACAGTCATCCATGTAATGCTCACAGCCAGGAAGGGTTTGGCTCTCTGACTCTAAAACTTCCTGCTGCAGCAGGGGGCTGGGTTCTTCTTGAGCTGGATTTGATCTGCTCTTCCCTCCCTCTTCACGCCTTAAAACTCCAAGGAGGCAATTGATTGCAGATGAAGTGCTTAGCTGCTCCCCTCCCCCCTCACTACTCGTTCGTTGCACCTTTGGCGTGTCCCGGTGAGGGTGTTTACACATCCACTTGCTGAGATTCTGAATTTCCTATAAGCACGCTTATAGGAAAAATCAAAATCCTGCAGGAGCATCAAGTCCACGTACACCACTCACAGCTTCCTGCCGGTCTTGATCCACGTTAATGTGTTTCCACCCAGTTGCGTGCATACCACTTGCTCCTCCTTTTTCCCCTTCATGTTATTTTATATTTGCAGGTAATATAATTTTACACATTTATTATAGTTGTTATAATTTTAAAATTTCAATAGAATCTTCTATTTCCGTGTAATGCATAATCCAAACATTCCTCATAACGCTTAATCCGTTTCCCTCAACTTTTTATTACATATTTTTTCAAACCTTTGGAGCAGCTGCAAGAGGAAATAATAGACACCATATACTCTTCACCTACGGTCACCGAGTGTTTATTTTTACTACATGCATCCATCTTTAAAAGAGAGTGTGGAAGTGTTTTATTGAGGCCACATAAAATAATTTACTTAGTTGTGCTCTTGGGGTTGCCTGTGGATTTCTCTCCTCTGTGTTGCCTAGTGCTGCCACTTCAGATCTTTGTGCCACATTCTTTTCCTTGCTCCCTTGCCTTGTGGGTGATTCCCTGGGGTCTTTACTCCTTAGAGCGGAATTAGCAGGTCAGAGAGTTCCACCATTGGCAGAGCTCTCACCACCCATTGCCCAATTATTACCCCCAACGGAACACTTTGATAGAGCGAGGAGCAACCGGTGTCGGAGTTTCCTTGTTTTCTGGCCTTGAACTCTAGTGGGGAGGCGGTCTCTTGCTCAGCCTCTGAAGGCTGCTGATGTTGGCCAGAGAGGAAGATGAGGAGATGGGGCAGGAACTGGGCATCTTGGAGACTGTCGGGGGCCTGCGACTGCACCCTGGGCCACCCGGCCCAGGAGGGCAGAACGGAGGGTGCAGTGGGCTAGGTGGGGTTGCTGTGGGCACTGAACCCTTGTTGCAGGGCCGAAGGTTAGCGTGCTGGCTTCTCTGGGCCTCCAGGAATGGCCTGTCTTCCCCTTTCACTGCAGGCTTTCCTGTGTGGGTCCTGAGTCATCCTTGCTTGCTTTCTGTCTCCCTGTGGACTCCCTTTCGGTCTCAGAGAGCAAGGCTAGGTTTGCACACCACATCACAGCTTCTCTTTACTTGTCCTTCATTAAGGGCAAGGCTGATGGAGGACTGAGTGTGTGATCAGCTGCCTAGAGGGCCTGGGAGCCCCCACAGGGACTCCTCTGAAAGTCTCTCTCTTGTTTTCCTGCAGGCAAATGGCATCTTGGGCACCACGGCTCTTATCACCCCAACTTCCGTGGTAAGAATTCTTTGGGGGATTTGTTACCTGGGAAACAGAAAATAAGGATCTCTGTGTAAAAGGACTCCATTAATGTTGAAGCCATCCTGCCCTGGGGGGACATCCCGCCTAAGTTAGGACTTCTTGGTTCATAGGGTCACTTGTTTGCATTTGGGGTGCCCCGGGCTCCCTCTGATTTCACATCCCTCTCGCCTGGCACCTTACCTGCCCCTGCCCCCCTCCTTGGTGCCTGCCTGCCCTTCTGGCTCCCCCATTGTGAGCCCACGTTCTCCCTGACTGAGTTCTTCATGGCTCAGGGAACATTTGGCCCCCATGAGGTCCAGACATGTCTAGTGTAATAAGAAGTAAAAATTGTCTGATGGGTTCACTGAAGCAGGGAACCTGGCCACAAACCCAAACGGGAGATGCTCCCTTTGGCTTCTTCCTGCAGCTGTTTGCTGCCTCAGACTTCTGACTCTCTGGCCTTGGGGAATAGGGCAAGATTAAGATGTCTGAACCAATTCTCTGAAAATCACTTGGCTGATTGGTGAGTTCTCTGAATGTCCAATTCACCGAATTATCGGTGGTTTTTCAAAGCTATAGTTTGTGCCACTGGTCTCCCTCCCTGGCCTGTCTCTTCCATTCCATATGGGAATCCGTGGCCTTTCTCTTAAAAGCACTTTATCCTTATGTCAACTTCTGTGGCTTCTCCCTGCCCCTACCCTGTGTGTGCCTCCCTCCTGCTCCCGCCATTTTATAAGCAAATGGGTGACCTTTGCCTAAAAGGTGGTTCTCTGGATATTTTGCAGACTTCTCCCTTCCCCAACCCCAGTATCTCTCTCTGCCTCTGTGGAAAAGGGCTTCAGTGCTCTGTTCTAGATTGGGGGAAGGCATGTACCTGAAGGGTTTTGCAGTTGGAGAATGACTTGCAGAGACTTGGCCTGGACCCAGCCTTCAGCCCCTGGCTCCCACTAGCAGCCTTGTCAGCTGACATCCTCTCCAAGTCCTGCCTCCCTGTGGTGCTCCTTCTCCCCCTCTCCTCCCTTGTGCCTACTTCCCAGCTGGGCTTCCATGGCATCTTCCACGTGTGCTTTTGAAAAAATGGCAGATGGAGGAAGTGAAGACTTGGCTTTTCCACTAACTAAAAATTACTCCGGAATTTATTTTTCCTCCCTGGTCTTCAGTTTTCTCACTTGACTCATGCGGGGTTTGGCTAGATCTGACTGTTGAAACCTTGAGAGCATATTCCTAGAGTTCTGTGCTGGGGGAATCTTGAGACTGGGTCCTGCTCAGCAGGAAGTGGTGCCATTTTGGATTTGTCGTGTCTGCCATGGGAGTGGGAAGGGAGTGGCAAATGGGAAGAGAGAGCACCTTGCATACATTTGCTGTCCCTGGACCAGCCAGTCCCTAAAAGCCTTCTGGCTTGGACCCTCCGAGGTTTCTTGATTCCTGTCTCCAAGTTCACTCCTCCTCCCTCCTGCCTGTTGCACCTCCTCCATGGCGCACTGGCCTGCTTCTCCATCAGCCTCATGGCTTCTCCTCCAAACCCTTCCTACATCATCTCTTATAGCTTAACCTATATATCTTATCTCCCCTTCAGATGGGAAGTCTTTTGAGGGCAGAGTTTATTCTTGTACCCCTTCAAGTATCTTGCATATAGTAAATTTTCACCTAATATTTACTGAATGTGTCTATAATTGCACTGGGGTTGGTAGCTGTTCATTGATTTTCTCTGCTTCTCCCCACTCTGGGTTAACTCTAATCACAAGATTGCAAATCTAGTCTTACAGCCAGAACCCAGTGAAGTGTTTTCTTTGCATACTACAAAGGGATATTAATCAAATCCTCTTTTAATTACATACTCCATAGCACTGCAGTATTAAATCATGGAAAATTAAATTTTTGTCCTGCATGTAAGAATGCAGGCTCACAGAACAGCAGCCAAGTGGGGGTGCTAACCAGTTGCTTTTCTTCCAGGTTTTGATTACTACTTTGGAATTCCCTACAGCCATGATATGGGTTGCACAGATACCCCGGGCTACAACCTCCCTCCTTGTCCAGCATGTCCACCAGGCGATAGATCATCAAGGTAATGCTATCCAAGGCGTTGGCTGTGGGCTCCAGAGCCAGGTGAAGTCCTTAGAGTGTGTCCATCAGGAGTAAATAGGGGGTCTGATAGGGCACAGTTAAGACACCAAAAAAGATAGAGTGTGCATTCAGTGCAAATTTAAATGCATTGTTTGCATGGAGTGCAAGAAAACTTTTACCAAGATGAGGTCAACAAAATTCTTTTATTGGAATTTTCCAGGTTCCTTGGACTGTTTAGCTCAGCTGGGGAGAGCCTGGTGTTGCCAAAGTCTTGCACAGGTGGGCCTCTCTCCTCCTCTGGCTGCTGGCCTTGCTGCTGGACCACTTACCCGGCCCAGACATTGGATACAAGGAGGGAGAGAGAGAGAGAGAGAGAAAGTGCACAGGGCTCCTTGCAAGTGTCACCCACTACCCCAACAAATAATCCTTCATTCCGACCTTGGAATGCCATGTAGGCGCTAAACAGGATGTTTTAAAAACATATTCAATGAAATGGGAAAATGCTCATGATATAATAGTAAGTGACAAAAGCCGGAAACAAATCATCAGTGTGACCTTAACTCCCTCTGTAGCTATACCTTTACGGCCCCTTCGAGAGGGACTCAAAGGGAACGTGCCAAAATGATAACAATGGTTCATTCTCTCTGGTTGTGGGACTAAGGGATTGTCATTTTTTTCTTTCTCATTGTATTTTCCAAATATTTTGTAATGAGAATGCAATGCATTTATTATCAGAAAAAGGTAAGAAACCTTATTCAGGATATAAAACAACACAAACCAGGTGCTCTGCTTTGCTCAGACTGTGCGCTGAGGTTATTTATAAGGTTACAGATGTCTGAGCCACTAGGGGATGGTGAGTCTCAGCTGGCTCATTAATAACACAATCATTAGGGGCTGGCCCCGTGGCCGAGTGGTTAAGTTCGCGCGCTGCGCTGCAGGCGGCCCAGTGTTTCGTCGGTTCGAATCCTGGGTGCGGACATGGCACTGCTCGTCAGACCACGCTGAGGCAGCGTCCCACATGCCACAACTAGAGGAACCCACAACGAAGAATACACAACTATGTACCGGGGGGCTTTGGGAGAAAAAGGAAAAAATAAAATCTTTAAAAAAATAAAATAAAATAACACAATCGTTAATATAACGATGGCCGTTTATTGAGAAGTTGTTACATTCTAGGTGCTGTATGTACTTCCTCGCAATTCACACAACCACTGTGTGAGGCTGGTCTTGACTCTGATTTTACAGCTAGGAGGCTGACCTTGTTGTCCAGGATACATGGAGCTGGGAAGCAGGGATAGAGATTCCGACCTGGGTCTCTCTGAGTCCAGAGTCCATGTCCTCTACATCCTGGCTACTCAAAGTGTGCTTGCTGCACCTGCAGTGTGGGATCATCTGGGCACTTGATAGAAATGCAGAAGTTCAGAGGCCACTGCAAGGGCTGCATTGTAACAAGATGCTCAGATGATTCCCGTGCACATTGCCGTGTGAGAAGTGAGGCTACAGAACATCTCGCTGCCCTCCTTGGCCACTGGGGCCTGGGGGGGTCCCACCTGTGGTCACACCTGGCCACATCACGGTATGCCAGATGTCAACCAGTTCCTCTTAAATCCACGTTAAATTGAATAGAAAAAACAGGTTGGCTTAGGAGGGAAACAGGGAGAGAATGTAAATGGTGGTGGAGTCTCAACGAGATCTTAAAAAGCTGAAAAATTTGACACAAATGATGAGATTAGCACTGTGTTGCCCAGCACAGAGAAACTCTTTTTCTTTTTTTAAAAAATTGCAGTCTTTGGGGCTGGCCCTGTGGCCGAGTGGTTAAGTTTGCGCGTTCCGCTGCAGGCGGCCCAGTGTTTGGTTGGTTCGGGTCCTAGGCGCGGACATGGCAGACCACGCTGAGGCAGCGTCCCACATGCCACAACTAGAAGGACCCACAACGAAGAATATACAACTATGTACTGGGGGGCTTTGGGGAGAAAAAGGAAAAATAAAAAAAAATCTTTAAAAAAAAAAAATTGCGGTCTTTGGTGATGACCTACCCCAGTCTGACCTTGTCTCCTGAGCTTCCATTCTGAACTTGTGTGTATATAGGGGTGACAGAGAGTTTTCATGTGCTCCCAAGTCCCTCCCTGCACCATGAGGACAGTTTGTGTACGTACGAGGCCTCCTGTTACCTTGCTTCTGTCTCCGTTGCTCTCAGCTTCTCTCCTGGTTCTCTGTGGCACCTAGGACAGAGGGCTTGAGTTTTTATTCAGTTCCTAGTATACCGAGCAGTGTGCAAAGCACTAGCCATTTGTCGTTTCATTTAGTCCTCTCAATACCTGTAAGGGGGCATGGGTACCCCATGTTTCGGATAAGGAAAGTCAGGCTCTGAGAGCTCAGGCAATTTGCCCAAGATCATGGCCAGAGTCATTCCTCAGCCACATTGATGGGCACTCATGTGTCAGGTTCATTTCGATCTGTAAGCCCAAGGGCTGAGTTTGCTTTTCCCAGGAGATAGAATTGGTTTGACCTTCACTTTTTCCAACTGCTCAAGTTTCTCCAAATTCTCCAAACATGGTTTGAAATTTTAAAATTGTTCCTGGCCATCTGTCCTATTGTTAGACATCTTGTCACATGAAGTCCCGATTGTTGACTTAGGAAAATATCAAGAATTGCATCCCATAGACAGAAGTCGTCGTTAGGGAGGTCAGTGGAAAAAGCAAGCTATGGGGCTACTGATTGGCTGTGCCACGCTGCTTGAGTAATTGGTTGTTCAGACGTGAGTTTTTCTCCCAGCATGAGGGGAGTAATGATGTCCCTTGTTCCCGAAAGTCTTTGTCACCGTTCCAGAATGGCTGGGCTTGTCCAAGGAGGGTAAGCATCTACTCAAAGGGAGTGGTTGAAGGTATTATATTGGTTTTACTCTTGGAGGAAACAGCAGACTGGACAGATCATTTGGGGCCAGGCTATTCAGTATTTTGCTTTTATGAGTCTCGCTGAATTAAAGCATTTTGTTTTGCTCCATGACTACTTAGGTCATGGAAATGAATGCTCTGCCGTCTGTGCTTTCTGCACAGGAACCTTGAGAGGGCCTGTTACACTGACGTGGCCCTTCCTCTCTATGAAAACCTCAACATCGTGGAGCAGCCCGTGAACCTGAGCGGCCTTGCACGGAAGTATGCTGAGAAAGCTACCCAGTTCATTCAGCATGCAAGGTAAGGAGGCCCGGGCCCCCAACCTGCCCTGCCCCCTGGCCTCATCACTCCTCAAAGCCGAGGCAAATTTCCGTTGCCCAGCAGAGATGGATGTACGCACGTCTCCTGGAAATAAACCTGGAAACAGTCCCCCGGGAATCTCTAGGCTTGGGTCAGAAGTTCCTCAGGTGTGTTCCCCAAGATGCTGAGGCTCACCCATATCCCTGCTCAGATCATGCTCTACTGTCAGCATCATTTTGTCCTCTCCTACTAGGGTATAAGCTCGCTGGGAGCAGGGCCTGCCCACTGTATACTGGACACTCAAGGCTTTTGTTGAATTTGTTAGTTGGTGGGGTGTGTTCATTTCTTATTGCTGCTGTAACAAACTTACTACCAACTTATTGGCTAAAACAAGAGCAATTTATTCTCCTCCAGATCTGGAGTTCAGACTTCTGCAATGAGTCTCATGGGGCTAAAATCAAGGTGTCTGCAGGGCTGTTTCCTTTCGGAGGCTCCAAGTGAAAAATCGTTTCTTGCCTCTTCCAGCTTCTGGTGGCTGCTGGCATTCTTTGGTTTATGGCTGCATCGTTCTAGTCTCTACTTCTATTGTCCCCTTGCCTTCTCCTCTTCTGTAGTGAAATCGCCCTCTGCCACGCTCTTATAAGGATGTTTGTGGTTACATTTAGGGTCTACATGGAGAATCCAAGATAATCTCCCTATCTCAAGATCCTTAACTTAATTGCATCTGCAAATTTGCTTTTGCCATTAAGGTAACACTCCCAGATTCCAGGCACTAGACCCTGCATCTTTGGGGACCACATTGTTGATCAGTGTTACCCACATTGGTTACAAATTCTAGCATCTAAAGAGCCCAGGTAGGCAGCCTTAAAGAGGGAAGCAGGTGGAGTGTAAGGCATTAGGGAGTGGTGGGGCCTCTGGTGAACTTGAAAGCACATGCCCCATCTAAGGGGGCAGCTGCTCCCTAGCTCCTGCTTCTTTATGGGAATGGGAGCCTGGACTATCAGCTCTTTCCATTTCACACGAGAGACAGGATGCCTGGCTCTGGTGTGAAATCTCCTGATCTTTAAATGTTAGAAACAACCAATTAAAAATAACAGAAAGCGAAAAACAGAACCAAGCCACAGTGTGTCTCTACCCAGCTGTGCGTGTGTGAGGGCTGCTGGTTTGCATCCTCTGTCAGGTTGGGGCAGAGAGTGGGTATTAGGAAGCAGACACCTCGCAAATGGTGCACACTCAGGTGCACATGCATAGATCATGCATGGTATGCAAGCACATGCACGCACATGTGCAAACACACCATCTCCCCTCCCCAGCCGCCTCAGGCCTTGTCCTGACCCTTCACAACTGCCCTTGTGCTGTCTTTTAATGAGCTCACATCTGCCGGTCTCATCTCTCCCCTAAGATTGCACACTCCTCAAGGACATTGGAAATTTCCAGTAGGTCCTTTGGTGTCTCCACAGCCCCAGCCTAAGTGGGCAAGAAAAAATGTGCTGCGAGCCTGTCGCCTTCTGCAGGATTAAAAATGGACTCCGCCTGTGGATGACCGACCACATCAGCTCCTCAAATGCGCACGAGTCCCCCCACCCCTTACTCAACCACGTTGGACTTTTCTAGAGAGAAGGGCAGCAGGGAGGGGAGAGGCGGCAATGTAGCAGACCCATTTACAATGTGTTCTTGATCATAAAACCAACTTAAGGCTTAAATCTCAAGAACAGCCCCTTGGGGCTTCGGAGATTGCATCTGACCAGTTTTTCAGGGCTTTCTGAGAACTCCGGCTTTTCTCAGATGGCTGATATGGAAAGGGCAAAGTCTCTTCTCTGGTCCGGAGAGTCGAGCATTTCTCTACTCCCTGGAGCTTCAAGATAGTTCCAGGCCCCGCTCCTTGTCTTCCCTCTCCTTTCCTGCATCCTGTGACAGGTGATCCTCCACGGCTGGTGCGGACAGTCCACTCCTGCTCTCGCAGTGCCATGAACAGCGCAGTGTTCTCAGAGGAAGGGTGGCAGCCTGCTGGGCACGAGGGACTGTCCCCAGAACACTGGCTCTGAAGTGGGGATGGTTCTGCTCATCCCCCAGTTAGTTAATTGGTTAAAAGATAAACAAATCAATGAACAATCTCCTTATCAGATGAAAAGGGTGAAGAGTTTGCTAATTGATTAACTAATTATTAAGTGAACAGTGACATGACCCCTGTTGCCTTTTAACTTTACAGAAAATAATCCTCAGGCATGCTATTTCTTTAGGATCTGACTTGCCCATTCATCTCGGATTTTCAAAAGTCAGCAGAAAAGGCCGCCAGACCTGCTCCTTCCTCCTCCTGAGCCCCGCCCCCAGGCGAGTCCCTCCCCCTTCCTGGACCTGTTTGTCAGAAATACCAGGGGTCCCTTGAGTTTTGTTTTCCTGCTTCTTGGCAAGGGGCACCCCCAGGACTTCTTTGAAAGTTTTTACTTGGGTCTTTACTTGAATTTAGACCCTTAACCTAGCAGTGATGCTGAAAGCTAATCCTTGATTTTTTTTTTTCTTTTTGCTGAGGAAGATTTGCACTGAGCTAACATCTGTTGCCAATATTCCTCTTTTTTTTTGCTGAGGAAGATTGTCGCTGAGCTAACATCTGTGCCAATCTTCCTCTATTTTCTATGTGGGACGCTGCCACAGCATGGGTTAATGAGTGGTGTGTAGGTCCATGCCCCTGATCCAAACCAGCCAACCCCAGGCTGCCGAAGTAGAGTGTGCGAACTTAACCGCTATACCACTATACCGCTGGCCTCCTCTTTTTTTTTCGCTTGAGGAAGGCTAGCCCTGAGCTGACATCTGTGCCAATCTTCCTCTACTTTTTTTAATATATGGGACGCTACTACAGCATGGCTGGTGAGTGGAGTAGATCTGCGCCTGGGATCTGAAGCCATGAACCCGGGCCACCAAAGTGGAGATTGTGAAACTTTAACCACTGAACCACAAGACTGTGCCCTTGATTTGGGGTTTTAAGCAGGAGGAAAAGCTCTAAATTGGCAAAAAAGGAGAGAGCAGATGGCCTGGGTTCCTGGGTCACAGCTGGCTAGCCCTCTGCTCCTTACAGGGTCTGGGATTGTACACTAAAGCTAAATAGAGGATATAAGGTTTGACAAGGATGACTATATTGGGCATAGGCATGAGCAGTGGCTCAGAGTATTTGAAATCAGAGTGCATGGCCAATACTGCAGGGCATTCATCATTCAGAGTTAGATCTTAGAGGGGCTGGCCCTGTGGCCAAGTGGTTGAGTTCCCACGCTCTGCTTCGGCAGCCTGGGGTTTCGCCTGTTTTGATCCTGGACACGGACATGACACCGCTCATCAGGCCATGCTGAGCCAGCATCCTGCGTGCCGCAGCTGGAAGGATCCACAACTGAAAAAGTACACAACTGTGTACCCGGGGGCTTTGGGGAGAAAAAGGAAAAAAATAAAATCTTGAAAAAAAAAAAAAAAGTATTAGGTCTTAGAGATGCACAGATGACAAACAAGCCCTGTCTTCCTGGGCTGGAGCCCAAGACCCGCATTAGGGTCTCTCTTCCCTCTTCTACTGGACTCTATTGCTCTCCCCTGAGGGGCTGCCCCTCCTTGGCTCCCTCACCCAGCTCCCAACTAACACCCACCAACCTGCCGTCTGCCCCAGGGCTCCAGGTTCAGCTCTAAGACGTGCTCACCCCCATGCCCTTCTTTCTCCTATTTGAATGTTCGGGTGAGTAATGGGCGAGGACATGAAGGAACTGATGAAGGGTTAGGCAATGGGACCGAATGTCTTCTCCCCATGCTGTTGTCTGCCTTGAATGGCCACCGCGCACAGCTCACCTGTAGCCCCGCGTCCTTCAGCCTCACTGTCTCAGGGATCTCTTGCTTCCCTCCTCACCCCAAACCCCGTTTGGTTCCCCTGTCGTACCCTTCCACACCACCCTGTATGTGTTTCTCCTCCGTCACCTATACTCAGTTTGTAGATAACTATCTGATTGCTATTTTGGTTGCGTTTTTCTCTCTCCTGTTTCCATTTGGATGTTAGGCTCCAAGAAGGTGGCAATCATATTTATCGTGTTCATCGCTCTGTCCCGAGTGCCTGGGGCCTACTTAGAGCTTAATAAATATTCATTGACTGAGTGAATTACTTTATCTAGCCCCAAAGATGAGCCAGTTTGCGCTGGGGATACAGACATGAAATTAGATCTGTCCTTGCTTTTGAGTGGCTCCCAGGCTAGTGGGGAAACAGATACGTAAAACGCTGGCTTAGGGAGTTTGTATGATCCACACCGGTCAATCCTGTGGGGAAGGGAGGAGGAGACCATCCATGGCCTGGATGCAGAGGAGGATGTGGTGGCTTTTAAGCTGGATCTTAAGAATTCATTCAGTGTTTTTAGGCAAGACACCAGGGAGGTTACTGCCAGGAGAGGAATAGCGTGAGCAGTGCAGGAAGGCAGGAGGTGAGGTGTTTGGGTAGCTGGCACGTCGGAGCCGCTGTGGGGGAAGGAACGCAAAGCTGGACAGGACCGGGGTTGGGAAGGCCTCGTATACTGGGTGCAGGGTTTGGACTGAGACCACAGGCTGCATGAAGGCCTGGTGGGTTTCTAAACAGGCAACTGAGTTTGAGATGGTTGTCTGTAACCCTGAGGCCCAGAGGGAGATGGTGAGATGTGGGGGCACGTGGCTGCTGCAGCGGTCCATTCTAGAGAGACTCCTTGTCCGTTCAACCCCAGGGGACGCCAAGAGGGCCAGGATCTGGGAACCCGCTAGGCAGGTGCCACTCCTCCATGCTAGAGGGAAGCCCTGCCTCCACCTCCGGGCCGGGCTCCCTCTGGGCAGGCGCCTACTGGGGACCTTTCATAAGAGCGGGGCGCCCCTCACCTGCCATTTCTCATTTCAGATCGGGGGATTTTCTCCGCACTTAGCTGCCCCCAGGTCTTAATCCTGAGCACACCTCCATGCCCTGCCCCATCTTCTCTCTTCTGGAATGTCTTCTCCGGCATCTTACTTCTTTTCTTCCTCTCTGCTCACTGCTCCTCTCGTGTGGCCACACATATAATATGTCTTCCCTTTAGAAATCTCTGAAAACAGAGATAAGCAAACAGAAAAAAATCATCCTAAATGCCACACCCTTTGGTAGCGTTTTCTTCTAGCATCATTCTGTGCTGGTGTATAAACATATGTATTTTTTTTTTTAGCAAAAATAGAATCATACTGTCTTATAATCAGCCCTTTTTTTGGAAAGCACCAGATCTCCTCCACTCTTTATTTTCGTTCAGCACAGGAGCATAACGAAGGGGTGGCTTGGGGGATAGATGCCCCCCAGGAGCCAGTATGTGCATGATGCCATCACTCTGAATTCTAGCATGGCATCAGGGTGCGGAGAAGGGGGTACATCGCTGGGTACCATGTATCCTTACTACTGCTAGCATGTATTATTCATTATTATTAATGAAAAGGCTACTGTTTTTTAAATGCTTACCATGGGCAGTTAATAATCACAACTTTGTCAGGGAGGCATAATTGTCTCCACTGTATAGAAGACAGGGGTTAAGTTAATTGCCCAGGGTGGCATAACCATGAAATAAAAATTCCAGGCATTTGAATACATCTGCAAAGCCTGTGCGTTTCATCAGTCCACGCCACCTTCTCTCACCAGTGCACGTGTCTTTCAGCCTCTGTCCCAAGGAGCTAACAGAACTTTGCTAATGGGTGGGAATTTGGAGGATGATGATGGAGCTGGGACAAAGATGGGGAGAAGGGACCACCCTCCCCCCAGCCTGTATGTCACGGTGAGCTGGTAAATGTTTAACAGGCAGCAATCCCAGAAGAAAGCCCTGCTCGTTTCCATGGTGTAAATACTCTCACTGTGGCTGATTTCAGGCCACCCAGGAGATGTCACTGAATGTGGAGTTGGGAAGAGGTGTGCAGTAGCACGCCATCATGGGGCATTTCCACCACACAGGTACAATTGATGTAAAATAACCCCAAGAGCATAGATAATGGTAAAATACAGCAGAATAATTAGGGCGTGATAAATCGTGAGAATTTATTGCCTTTGTTTCTAATAGAATTTATTTAATTGTAAGTTTATATAATTTAAATTTTAATGATGGCTGTGTTTAAAAACTGGCTGGCAAAGTTCCTGAAATTTGAGCCAGCTCTATCCAGCATGCCATTGCAATATGGGATCTACCTGCAAATTAGAAAAAGGCGCGCCCTCTGGGTGGGCACTGATCTGTGCCAGGGTGCCCAGCTCGGCCAGTGGATTGTGGGCTGGAATTAAGCCCCTATTCACTCTCTCAGCAGGATGTCCTCGTGCAGGACACAGCCTACACAACTATACATGATCGTCTTTGGGAGAACAGGCAACAGACACTCTAAATCAGCACCACCCAACAGAACTCTTTGCAAGGATGAAAGTGCTCTCTATCTGTGCTAAGACGGTACCCACCAGCCACCCGTGGCTGCTGAGCATTTGAAATGTGGCTAGGGCAACTGAGACACTGAATTTATATATGTAATACATATAATAGGTAATTATGTTAATTTATATTTCTATTAAATTATTATATGTATAGTTGTAAAATATACAAACATCAAATTTCTCTTTTTAAGTGTACAGTTTTGTGGCTTTAAGTACATTCACCTTGTTCTGCAACCATCACAACCATCCATCTCCAGAACTTTGTCATCTTCCCAAATTGAAACTCTATACTCATGAAACACCAGCTCCCCATTTTCCCCTCTCCCAGTCCCTGGCTATGTACCATTCCACTTTCTGTCGCTAGAAGGTGACACTCTAGGTACCGCCTGTAAGTGGACTCATTCAACGTTTGTCCTTCGGTGACTGGCTTATTTCAGCGTGATGTCTTCAAGGCTCATCCATGTTGTAGCATCTGAGACACTGAATTCTTAATTTTATTCAATTCTCATTAATCGAAATCTAAATAACCACCATGACTCGTGGCTACTGCACTGGGCGCCACCACTCTAGAAATGTTGCAGAGAAACTGTTGATTAAAATGGGGAAGGACAGGCCCCTGTCTTGGGACTTGTGTCCTAGGTTTTACGTCTGTCAAAGAGAGCTGAGTGCAGGCACAGTCCCAACCCTGAGACCCCGGGAGTCAGGAAGCTGGGAGCACTCCAAGGCGTGGCTTGATGCAGAGCTGAGGCTGGGAGGACTCAGAACTTGATGTGGGGCGATGTGGATCAGGCAAGCTCAGCACACGGGAGCCAGTTTGGAAGTCCAATCTCTGGGGGAACTGGTGTAGAAAGAGCCACGCTCCATCACCACTCCATGCAAACTTGACTGAGCTCTCCCCTCAGCCTTGCTGTGTCCTCTGAAAGACCCCAGGGGTGTGGTATAGGGGGAGGGGCGCCACGAGGGCCCTGCTGCTTCAGGAGGGGAAGCTTGTGGTCTGCAGCTGCCCTTGATCCTGTCTTTGCCTGGGAATGGGAGTGGGGGACAGACAGGAAGCAGAGGTCGCCCAGTCGGCTCCCCCTTGCCTTCTAGAGGGCTCTTCAGGGTTCGAAAAGGGACAGCCAGGCGTCTGGGCCTCAAATAGAGCCTTGATCTAGATGTTCCTGGGTGGCCGTGTGCGTCCTTGGAATTCCCTGTGGTCAGTTTGAGTCATCCATTCATGTCTTAGAAAGGACCGAGGCTGGGAAATGGATATGATGGCCTGGATGCTGCAAAATAGCAGATAAGATTCCAAAAATATGTTTGCATTGGGTTTAGCGGGCAGCAGTTAAGAGCAAGGGCTTTGCTCTTGGCCAGCTCTGAGTTTCGATCCAGGCTCTGTCACTTACTAACTGCAGAAACTTAGACAAGTCCTTTCGTCTCCCCTAAGCCTCTGATGCCTCCTCTGAAAAGCGAACTTGGGGGTTATTATGAGGATGAATTTAGACAACATGAGTCGCATTTAATAAGCTTTCAGTGAATGTTGGAGGATAGTAACGATGATTACAATTACTCTTAGTTTTTACTTGCTAACCAGATTATCTCCACATTTCCTTGGAAGGTTGGGGACAGATGTGTACTTCCTGAGCACATGGGCAGCAGGTGTTCTGGGGGTTTTCTCTGCGGCAAGGGAGAGCCACAGAGACACTGGACAAGCCAGGAGAATCTTCTGGAGAGTGACTTCTTGGCTCTCTTGTTTCAGTGCCAGTGGAAGACCCTTCCTGCTCTATGTGGGCCTGGCCCACATGCACGTGCCATTGTCCAGGACCCAGCTATCAGCGGACCCACGGAGCCAAAGGCCATATGGGGCAGGTCTCCGGGAGATGGACAGCCTGGTGGGCCAGATCAAGGACAAAGTCGACCGCATAGCAAAAGAAAACACATTCCTCTGGTTTACAGGTTAAGTAGTAAAACCCAGCCAGCCTAACAGATCTAATGGATAACCCTGCGCACGCTCCCTGAAGAGCAGAGTCTCGCCAAGTGATCCTCCTTATCAGGGCAGGGGCTTGCTTTGAACCTGGGGACTGGCTAGTGTTTTTTGGTTTGAATGCTGAGCACCTGTCCATTGAGGCCTCCAAGCCTGAGCTGCTGGAAAGGTCTGCACAGTGAGAGAGGTCCCCTGCCGGCCCCTTGTGTATTGATTAGGGCCAGCTGGGTATTGCTCCTAATTGTTAATGAATGACTCTGACCTTGTGAACCTACATGGTCCTAGGGCAGTTCAAAGATTCCCTCTTCACCTTCCTCCCTGGTCCCAAAGACTCTGTTTGCCCTGGCTCACCGGGTCACCTCTTTTGGCTGAGTGGAGCTGAACTAGAGAGCCATTTAAAGGGCCCACACAGGCTTTGTGGGTCTCAGGTCCCTGTCTGGAATGAGGACAGTGGAGACCTGGGTTCGAATCTATATGCTACTGTTGGCAAATTTCCTTTAACCTCTCTGAGCCTCTGTTTCCTCATCTGCAAAACTGAGCTGTGCTAGAAGCCATTCCACAGCAAGGGGAGGATAGTGAGAGAATATACGCGAAGCGCTGGGCGCATCATAGGTGCGCAGTAAGTAGCTGCTGGGCTGATGACACGTGATGGGCTTGCCAAAACTATACAAAAAGGCACAAGCCTGTAAGACAAGAACCTCAAGCCGGGGCCTCCCTCTCTGAAGGCCCAGCAGAGGCTGGCCTCATGGAAGCGGGAGCTCTTCGAGAGGGGGGATCATGTTTGTTTTCACAAGCCCCTCTTCTAGCCAGTCCCCTGCTGTACACAAGGATTTGGGCCAGAGAGAGAATCGGCGGAGATGTCCACCAGCCTGTTGACCGTTACCTGTTGCTTCTTTTGGTTTCTAGGAGACAACGGCCCGTGGGCTCAGAAGTGTGAGCTGGCAGGCAGCGTGGGTCCCTTCACTGGATCGTGGCAAAGTCATCAAGGTAGGGGGCACTGCTGGGGTTGGTGCATCCGCTGTGGGTGCCGAGCCCGGGCTGGGGAGTGAGGTTCTTCCTCTGGGAGGACCAACTTGTATCCAGGCCGTCGGGGCATCAATGTGAAACAGGGTCAAGTTACTCACCAGCCGCCAACTCCCAAAGAAGAAAGAAATTGGGGCAGAGAGGGTTTCTGTGGAAAAGGCCATCCCTTTCTCTCCTTCTCTCCCAGGCCTGCCGCAGGGGACCAGCCCTCTCCCTGAAAAGCCAATCACGGACCTTCCAACAAATATGCTTTGCCTTTTCTTTCATCCCGCTGCTCTGCTCTTCCTCCTTCCTTTCTTTGAAAAGTCATCCCTCTATCTATCTAACCATTAATTCATTTCATTCATTCAAGAAATACTTACTGCACAGCTATGCAAGGTTCCTATGTATGTGATCTCTAGACTTCATAATCATGAAAGGTGGGAGGTGGTAATAACTCCATTTATAGATGAGGAAAGACAAAGGCTCGGAGAGGTTAAGTAACTTGTCCAAGGTCACACAGTTTGTGAGGATGGAGCCAAGCTTGCTACCAAAGTTAAAGTTGGTGATCTCCCCACGACCCCATACTGCCCCCCTCTATTGAAACATCCTCGGTCCCCTAGCCCAGTGCCCATCTGCTCTGGGACAGTTACCCCACAAGGACCACACTTTTTGAGAGAGCAGCCATGCGGGAGGCCATTCGGCAATCTGGACAAAAGGCTTGAAAAACATGCATGCTCGTTAATGTATCAGTTCCTCCTCTAAGAATTTGTCTTAAATAATTCACCAGGTGCATAATGATGTATGTAAAATAATGCTCATTCCAGTAGGTTAAAAAAAAAACAGTTGAACATAACTCAAGCGTCCAGCAAGAGAGGAGCGTTAAGGAAATTATGATACATTTATTTAAAGAAATGCTAAGGAACCACTGAAATGATGTGTATTCTTGACCTGGAAACATTTACATTAAATGCTTTTCAGCAAATAAAGCAGGTTGCAAAACAATATGTAAACTATGATTTTATTATGTAAAAATAAGCATACCTATTTTCAGAAAAATCTTGAGAGGCAATAAACAATGGATTAGCAGTAATTACGCTGGGAAGGGGAGAGAGGGTTTAAGTGTGATTTTTTCCACAACAAACTGGTGTTATTTGTATCCTAAAAAATTAAAATATGGGGCCGGCCCAATGGCGCAGCGGTTAAGTGCGACGTTCTGCTTCGACGGCCCAGGGTTCGCCGGTTCGGATCCCAGGTGCCCAGCGGCACCAGTTGGCACGCCATGCTGTGGCAGGCGTCCCACATATAAAGTAGAGGAAGATGGGCACGGATGTTAGCTCAGGGCCAGTCTTCCTCAGCAAAAAGTGGAGGATTGGCAGCAGATGTTAGCTCAGGGATAACCTTCCTCAAAAAAAAAGAAAAAGAAAATGCATTTTTTAGGAGGTGCTTGTATCCAAAGGGTTCAGAGGTGGGCTTGGCAAGATGACCCCTTGGAGCTGGGTTTTCCCTGTGGTCCAGCTTGCTCCTGAGCTCTGGTGCCCACTGTCTCCAGGTGAAAGGATGGTGCTCAGGTACTCAAACCCCTTTTCATATTAGTCTGGCAGAACGTTTGTAGTTACCTAGAAACTGGGACATCGACGCATCTTGTAGCTCATGGTGAGAAAAAAGTGCCGACCATTTTTATTTGTCGACTTTTAACCTGGTGTCCCTTGGATCAGATCCCTTGAGAACTTTACAAGTGAGTGGCTGCCGGGACTGTGGCCACGTCTTGCGTGTCCGGAGGTTTGACTTGGGAGTCGGGAGAACTGGGTGCCACCTCCACTCAACCCACGCAGTGACCAGATGACTTCATCTCTCAAGCTCGCGGTGCTTCTCTCTCTCTATCAATTTCTTTGGTTCCCTCCAGTTCAAGAACGCTGCAGTTTAGTTCTGGCGCCTGGAGAGTTGGGTCAGGAAGAGGTGCTAAGATTGGAGCTGGGTAGGAATGTGTCTGAAACCTGCGACAGCAGCCTAGAGAAATCAAGTGTGAGCTGGAAGTGGTTTTGTGCATTAGCTGATTATAATTCCTCTTCCTGTACCTGGGATACCCTTGGGCCAGGCTGCCATCTTCAATGCTCAGTTGAAAAGCCTGGAAGAGCCTAGAATCAGAACTCTCAAGGGTGAAAGTCCAGAAGGCATGGAGACCAAGGATGAGGGGATAATGATCTGTGAGTGAGAGGCTCTGTGGCGAGCTTTCTGCTCCCTAAGAAGATGACCTCTACTCCCTTATCTCAGGACCTACCTTATCTTGTCTCTTTCCCCCTTACAAGGCAGTTTTGAAACAGTGAATCAGGTTTAAGGATGTGGCCTGGGACCCCATTCTTCGATGGAAGAACTTTACCTTATGAGAAACACATTTACTGACTGGGCAACCTCTATCTCTCCTTTCGTTCCATTTGTTGAGCAACTACAATTGCCGGGAAGTGTGTTCAATGCTGGGGACACAAGGATCAACCAAGCCCCTGGCTTTGAGGAATGACAGTCTAGAGCAGTGCTTTTCAGACTTTACTGTGCAGATAGTCCCCTGGGGATCTGGCTAAACCGCAGTTCTGACCCAGAAATCTGGGATGGTGATGGAGATATTGCATTTCTTACAAACTCCTAGATGATGCTCATGCGGCTGGTCCAGGGCCCACACTTTGAGAACCACCAATTTAGAATATCCACATCTAGACCATTTGAGTCTAGAGTCATCTGAGTCTAGAACTTTCAGATCTAGGCCAGGGCTTATCAACGTGTGTCCCCAGGACCAGCAGCATTAGCACCACCTGAGAACTTGTTAGCAACGCAAGTTCTAGGGCCTTACCCCAGACTCACTGAATCAGAAACTCTGGGGACCGATCCTGGCAGTCTGTGTTGTAACAAGTCCTTCAGGAGATTGTAATACAGATTAAAATGTGAGAGCCACTGGTCTATCTACTGTCTGATACACCAGGCACTAGTCACACAGGACTATTTATATTGAAATTAAATTAAAATTCAGTTCCTTAGTCACACTAGCCACACTTCAAGGGCTCAGAAGCCACATCGGCTGGTGGTTACCATGTTGGATAGTGCAAATATAGAACATTTCCATCATGGCAGAAAGTTCTCTTGGACAGTGCTGGGAGCAAACATGTAAGCAGCTGATTATTATACAAGTGAGAAGCCTGTGGTAGAGGGGAGCACAGGGGCATCTCACCCACGTGGGAGGGGGAGCAGAAGGCTTCCTTAGTGGTCTGAGTTTTGAAGAATGAGTAGGAGGCAGCCAGGATTTGCTGGGGAGGAGGTTCTGCGTAGCCTGGGCAAGAAAGGGAAAAACAGAGAGCAGGAGCCGCCTGGCTGTCTGTGTCCAGAGCTCGTGGGAGCAGGTTGAGCAGAGAGATGAGGCAGAAGGGAGAGCCGAGGCTAGCGTTCAAAGGGCCTTTCTTTCAGGCAAACACTCTTCGCCTTAATTCTAAAGAAATATGGAATCATGGAAGGATTTTTAAGAGTGAGAGTGACATTATTCAAAATTGGGGTGAAATTCACGTAACGTAAAATCCACTATTTAAAATCGTACAATTCAGTGACATTTAGCACATCCACCATGTTGGGCAACTATCACCTCTGCTGAGTTCCCAAATGTTTTCATCACCCCAAAAGAAAACCACGCACCTTTTAAACACTAGCTCCCCATTTCCCACTCTCCCGGCACATTGTTCAACTTTAAAAGACCCCTCTAACATTTGTGGGGCTGAGAGGAGAGAGAGGGGCTGGGACTCAACTCACTTCCACTGAGCCAAAGACGGCAAATGACAGAAGCGAGTGGTGGAATCTCCAGGAATATCCCAGCATCCCACAAATGCCAGGGTTGGAGGAGACCTCAGTGGTCTTTATTCCAGCCAGGCTCTTGGCCAAATGAGGAAACTGAGGCTGAGCAGGGTGAGGGCTCTCCCGAGGCCAGCCATGGACTGAGGGGGCCACATGGTTTGACCACCACCAGTTCATTCCTCTTGACCCACCTGATTGTTATTACTCACTCCTTGTTACACCGACAGCCTGCTCGCCATCTGGAAAGCCCTGTCTTGCTTCTTTGGACTGCCTGGTTGTCAAGGAAAATGTCCTTAGCCCAGTGACAGTCTGAATCTTTCTAAATCTGTGGGAGGCGGAAAGAGCTAGTGGCTTTAGAGGGCCAGGCAGGGTTTGAATCTCGACGTGGCTCAGGACCTGGAGCCTGCCGGGTCCTCCCCGCTTGCAGCCCAGTTTCCTTCTCTGTGCTGTGGGGTGGTGGACCCTTTCCTGGACTGTTGGAGGATCCCCTGGGATCCAGGAGGCACCGAGCCTTGCTGGTTTGGCCTTTAGTAACCCCCTCGAAACCCCATTTCTTTACTCCCAGCTGAAATGAACTGGAGACACGCCACGAAGGGGAGAACTGGAAGGGGAGCGGAAGATGCCCTGAAAGAGATTTCCCTGCTCAGGAGTCGGGCCGCTTCAATAACACGTGGATGACTTTATGAGCGTTCTGGGCCTCTGTCTCAGGAACCTTGCTCTGAAGCTGGATTTCCGTCATCTCAAGAGAACACTCTTTTTGGGCAAGGCCTTGCAAAGACGTTGCTGCTTGATGTGGTATCTGTGGGGCACAGCACTTGAATTTGTGGTGTGCGAGGGCTGGATGCCATTCTCTTCTTTGCTCAGGAGATCCTGAAGGCCAGCTTTGCCTTGGGGTAAACGCTTCCCCCTCCTCATGCTCCAAACCTGCTTCCTTTCAACTATTCCTCAGCCTTCCCTCTCCTCTCTGCCCGGAACGCGCTGGGGGATCTGCGAAGGCAGAGCCCTGTGTGGAAGCAGTGTGGCCAGGTGCTTGGGTCACGGCAGGCTGGGGTCCCTCTGGATCACCTGCTCCTCCTCGTCCAGATCCCTCATAGGGGGATGCAATGCCTGCACATCCTGCTGTAAGGGGGCCAGTGTCGAGAGCAGATGAAAGA